TAGTAAGTGGCAGAGCCACAGTCAACCCAGGCAGCCTTGTTCCAAAGTCCGCGTGCTTCCCTACCGCACCGCATCACCTCTCTGGTTAATAGGTATCATAGGATGAGAGTTTCAAGAAATGAAAGCACACCTTGCACTGGGCTGAACACGGTGCACTAGGTAGGTCTTTGCTGCAGGGTGCAGAGCTGTCCCAGAGCTTTCCTAAGTGACTGCACATGGGCAGCTTCCAGGAGGATTGGGTTAACAGCACTCCTCACACCTTCTTGGCTGCCGAACTTATTTTTCCCATAGATTATCTTGCAGGGTAATGTCTGTAGAATAGAATTTGGAAAATATTACTTCAGATCAATGTTTCCAAATTCATACCACGCTGTAAGTTGGTGAATTATTCAAATTTTAACCTGGATGGTTTTAATTATAGAGGGGTATGACATATATTTAGAATCACGTTCATGAATGACAGGTCACCAATATTTCCTTGTCTGGCCAACCTGAGGGGCTGCTTGCCTGGCCCTCTCCTCTCAGGGCCAGGGGAGTTGAGTTGGGAACCTCCCCTTCTCTGACACCTGCTCTGCAGAGCGTTGTGTGCCAGGGAAGGCAGGCAAGTGGGTACCAACATTTTATTGCTACTGGGCAGAAGTTGAGGCTGCGAATTTCGATGTGCTGACACTGTGGGAGAGGCTGAAGGGGCACCTCCGGGGGGATGCAGTCAGTAGGGGATAGAAAGCGGGCAGAGCTGGGCTGGCGGGGCATGGGGTCGTGGAGCTCCAGGTGGGTGGTGACTGCAGCGTCAGCTCAGCAGAGCATTCTTCTCTTGCCAGAGCCCTGCCCCTCAGGCCCACAGAGGCCCTGTCCTCCCGTACATCGCCCCTACCCACCTACCCAGCCTCATTATGTTCCTTGAGGGGAAGGCGCCCAGCATTTGTTTCAGTTCATAGTTTTTAAAGGTATGAAGCTGTTGGTTGGATCCCATTTTGTAGACAGGGAAGAATGTGTCATAGTTGGGTGGTTGGGAAGCGTGACTCTGGAGCACTTGGGCCGCTTTGGTCAGCTCTGGCCTCAGTGGAGACATTGTTGTGTAGAAGCTTTAGGGAGCTTCTTGCCCTGTCTCCCACTGTCTTTCATCCTCCCCCAGGACAGCCGTTTAAGCTCCAGCAGGGCGATGGTGAGTCTGAGCAACGGTGAGCTCAGCTAAGGCAGAGAGTCCCACAGAACTGTCTCTCTGAGCACGTAATCTGTGTGGGTGCCCTGGGATGCAGTGTCTGCTGTGCAGGGAGAGAGGTTTGCCTGGACCATCCACTTGCTTACCTATGTTCCCTTATTTGGCAGAGAAGCTAATTATGGCCAAACTCTTAGAGGGAGGGGTATGACGTGTTAACTGTCTGTACCCACGGCCCTACCGGAATGCCTGCCATAGGGTAGCTCTTTAATGCGTGTTTTGGACAAATGAATGACTAGTGGCATACACCCTCGCTCCGTGGTAGCTATTGATGTGTTGGGACACAGAACTAGGATCCAAGCCCGTGTCCTGCATGCCTGCCACCAAATGGCATCCCTGCAGCAGCAGGGACCTTGCGCCTGTCCAAGTCTGTTTGAATGGCTCGGTTGTGCTGTGTAGGGCAGGAGCTGGTGTGGGCCCCATCCTGCCCCAGGCACTCACTTGCCAGGCCCAACAGGAGCTGCTGCAGGAGATGGGGGAAAGGGAGCGGATCCGCTTCTCAGGAATGCCTGAGTCAGGCCCCTGTCTCCACGGTTTCTGTTCATGTGGACTTAGTTCTAGGGCCCTTCTGATCTCTGAGATGTTAAACTTCTGTTGAGGGGCAGTCCCTAGATGGAAAATGTTCCCGAGTGGGTGCAGAAAGAGATGACGGGACATCTGAGGTGGCTTGACCTCATAGCAGGCAAGTCTTCCATTTGGGGCCTCTTAGCTGAGGAGCTTTGGGGCCACCAGGTAGAGCCTGCATAGGGGGCTCGCCGCGGTGGTTCTCCCTCGTTCCCACTCGCGCCCTCGGCCCCCTGCCATTGTGGCTCCTGACTTTCGCCAGGAGGTCTCTAGTTTCCACCCTCCTGAGCCCATCCACAATTGAATAAGGAAGGCTTGTCCCCAGCCCCGGCATGCTCACTGCTGCTTCCCGGAGTCTCCTCAACCAGCCAGCATGTTTGAACCCTGACTAGATGGCAGGTACTGTGCAAGGCACGGGGGATCCAGTGATGGATGAGACACAGTCACTTCCTTCAGAGAGCTCATGGTCTAGCTGAGGAGACAGACACATGTGACATGGAAACAGCACACCATATATAGCGAATGTTCTGCTGCATCGCAAAGAATGCGGGAAGCTAGAAAGGGGTGGAGAGAGGAGGGAAGGGGAGAATGACTCTGGAGACCGTAACAGTTTGCCACAGGGCTTAGGTAATGGCGAGTCTCTCTTAAGAGTCACCCTCTGCTAAAGCAATTACTTTTCATTTTTGTGCTTTTAGTAGCAAAATAATTTTTCTAAACTTCTGCATGGATCACCAAAGAACGAAAACAAAAGCATAGTGCCTGTGGTGAATTGGGAGCAGAGTGAGGATGGGGAGTGGGGGTCGGGTGCTCTCTGCCTGGCCGCATCTGTGTGCCTGCGCTTGTTTCAGAAGTGCGACTTCTGCTGTCCCTGAGGTGGTCATACACCCATTCAGGTTGCTGTTGAGCACCACTTTGCCTTGGAAGGGCCTGGAACCTACAGGCTTGTTATAGATAAATCTACAGGTGACCTTGTCATTCCTGCCTTGGACTCAAACTGGACAGCTAGGCTTTTCTTTTGGGGAAGTGATGCCTAAATATAATACAAGTAGGAAGGGGTGGATTCGAGTGCGGAATCATTTCCTTTTCCTAGCGTGGGATGAGTTGGTGACTTCCTGGAGCTGTGTGGTGTGTGAGCCTGTAAGGGAAGGTGCCACTAGAGTGGCCAGTGTCTCTGAAGGGGAAAGGCCTGTTCTGGGACTTGTCAGTGCAGAGAGCTCTGCTGGAAGAACTGTACTTTCTGGTCAGACCATGCCTGTAGTTCCCCAGGGAACCCAGGGAGCTCTGTGGGGCTCTCTGCAGGTGGCTAAGCGGACACCTGCTGGGAGAAGGTGAGAGGCCAGGCCAGAAGAGGTGAGTTCAGCTGCCCTGTCTGTAGGTGTGGCTGTTCGATTCACCTGCGGCCCGGCCTCGTGCTCACAGCGCCGTGGACCCTAAGCACATCATTTTCCGTGTATTGGCTTAGTTGATCCTCATGACAACCCCATGCGTTAGGTATTATTTTTACCCTCCTTGTGCTAATGAGGAAATTCAGGCACAGAGGTTCCCTGGGTAATTAGTGGTAGAGCTGGCATTCACATTGAGGCAGTCTGGCCTCCCAGAGAATGCACCTGAGAACTTTCTATACAGGGCACAGCAGCTTCATGAGAAAAGGATCCTCCAGTGTCTCACAACTGGGGATTCTTATGTGCGGCTTCTGCTGTAAGTGACCAGTTGGAGAACACTGTGTGTGTGTAGTTTGTATTAAACACCCTCCTGATGCAGGCACGTGGAAGCTGGTGCCAGGGTGCTTTGCTGACCAGTAGAGACAGGTTACAAGACATGGAGTGTTCCTCAGAAAGCAGCTCCTGCCCGGCAGATGACTTCCAGCTGCCTCGACCTGTCACTCTGTGCTGGTCTCCCAGCGGGCAGCCCCTGCTTAGGGAGACATGGGGGACTCTGCAATCAGGGCTGCACACCAACAGGGGAACGTGTTGGTCTTATTCCTCCTTCCCTGACTCAGTGCCCTCCTACCCATGATGCCCTCGGCTGTGTGCCCTTTACAGAAGGGGTGTGTTCTAGCTGGGTGCCTGACTGGCAAGGGAGGACTGTGAAGGGCTCCTCACAGGCAGGCAGCACCTGCGCCCAGGTCTCACGGACTGTGGGTCTCCCAATGTTAAGTGCTTCCCAGGTGGCTGCGCAGCACCAGCAGGTGCCCCCTCTCCAGGCCCTTGGCTTTGGCTGCCTTTTCCTGCTTCTTGGCTCTTTCTCTGCTCCCTCACTTTCATTAGAAGCTTCTCTTTTTGTGAGAAATTTATGAATAGGAGGAGGTTTGTGGTGGGAGAAAGCAGAGAATGGAAGAATTATTCTGGATTATCTGTGGGTTTTCATTAGCTGCTCTTTCTGTGCCTCATTACCAGGGATGAATAAGATTTGCTTCATAAAGGATCAGGATGCTTGTGCCATTTTGCAAGTAGAAGTTCAGGAGTTTTTCTCAGAATCAAACATTAAGCTAGAAAAACAAATTCAACATAAAACCCTGAAGCAAAAAAGGAATCCAACAGAAAATGCCATTCTGTTCAAACTTATGGCCTGCAGGAAAAATTTCAAAAATATTCCTTCAAAGGACCAAGCAGCAGGCCTCCCGTTTAAATGCTGCAACTGTTATAGGATGTCTCTCTCTCACATAGCGCTTTGAAACATTACCCTTCTCATCCTGCATGATCAAATGCCTTCTCTTGCTGCCTCTCATTCTGCGGTCCTGAATAGGGTGGCTATTGTTCTCCAGCAGGGCATGCTTTCACTGCCACATCATTCTGGCAAAGTATTGACACAAACCAGCATTATTCCTGGATCTGCCTTTCTCTTTGGTCCCCTTTCTTCTGGGCCTAAAGAGATCACATCCAGGAAGGCAGTCGGGTTTTGTAGGTTGGGGCGGACTCTGGGTGCCTCCTAGTGGGCTTTTTGGCCATGAAGGGACTGCTCTGTTCTGCCCCCCACGGTGCGTGGGTAGAGACTCGCCGTGGTCATGAGGCAGGGGGTGGACTTCCAGAGGTCTCTTGGCTCAAATGCACTCCGGAGAACTTTTGTTTCCAAAGTCAATTTATTGAATATTAAGTCATAAAGCCAGTGATATAATTTTAATGAAAAATATCCTGTATCACTCAAGACTTAAAAGAACAAAAATACCCCTTAGAAACACTGCTTTGAAAAATAATCACATTAACTTTACACACAACAAGTCCTTTCTTAAGCTTTATTTAAGAAATCGAGTACTATATAGTTCAATATATATAAGACACATCCAGTATTGTGTTCCTGATAGCAAGTGCATAGATTTTGTTAAGATATCATTTTCACTCAATAGAAACGTTTCATGGTCACATGAAGATAATATTCCCAGTGATTTGCCCAAGCATGAGAGAACAGAACACAGCAAAAATAGTGAACTACAACAGAGATGAAAAACAACAACAGCAAATTAGCAGAACAGTCGATTCCTGATAAGTGAATAAGCTGATTGTTTGGTCACAATGTTTTATTCACTTATCAGGAACGATTCACAGTACATTTATGTTCACTGTGTGTCCTAGCCTGCCAGCTAAGAGTCCGAGCCCATCGGGTGCGTGCAACTGCTGTGGGCTGGGCAGCGTGTGTGGCTTCCATCAGCAAGGCGGATGTTGATGGTGCTGCCGTATCCCAAGGTGGTCCTTGCATGGCACACGGATTCACCTTGCTCACACTGCAGCGGGGTCATACCGACTCAAAACTATGGGTATGAATTTAAGCAGGGACCAACTTGATAGTCATAAGTGCTTAAAGGAACTAGCATTTTCATCCCCTTCTTTGGAGAATTATTTGTTGCTTTAGAAAAGCAACAAAAACTGGCTTTGTCTTTCTCTTCCTTTGCTTAGCATGAGTATTTTGTCTTGTGCCAAAATGGTGGATCTATGTACTTATAGATTTGAAAAATAAACACTTGCACCTTGGAAATAATTTAATCACCCCCCATACCTCCCAACATCCCCTCCCACCTCCCTAATAAAAAGAATTCACACCCTTAGCCATCCTTTCCCACTACATAGGCAGTGTGTTTTCAGAGGAGACTGCCGAAGGCTATGAGGAGACTGAAAGCAGAAGTGGTGGCAGGAAGTGAGCTCCATCCATGCAGGCTGGAGCTGGTGGCATCACCATCACTGAGGCGGCCAGCCCCAGGGAGGGAGCCTCCCTTCCTCCACCTCGCCAGGCCCCTCTGTTGTTGAGCAGACTAGAAAATACAATCTCGGGCCAGAGGGGCTGCTGCAACGAGAGGGTGAAGAGCCTGAGCACCTACTGGGAGAGATTTCACTGGCACCCAGAGGAAGGCTGCCAGGTGCTGGGTGGCCTGAGTCAGAGCTTGTGCATCTGAAAATACTGGAAGGAGAGATAAGACAGAGGGAGCAAACATCGACGGAATCTTGTAAGAGCACTTTAAGAGCAATCAGATTCCTGAGCAGAGGCAGAACAGGGCCTGCGGCTTCAGTCTTTGAGGGCAGAGAAGGAACAGTTTTTGATAACTGGCCTTGGGGTGACAGTGGGGACGAGACTTAGGTTCATCCAGGAGGGAGTGTGTGGATGTGTATGGCATTATTAGCTTTTGTTTGGAAAAGGACAGTAAACTATGAAGACGACTTGAGTGTGAGAAACTTTACCTCCCCCTGCCTCCACCGGACTGAGGACAGCTTCCATTTGAGCCCTTGGAAATACTTCTTTTCTCTTCCGTTAGTGTTAATAATTAAAGCTGCTCCTGGATTCAATTAGCTTGTAGAAATAAATAATTTAAATGACTTTTCTATACATATCTTTTGACTGATGGCAACAAATAGACTTAAGTTTAACCCTTTTCACCGGCTAAGTTTATTTTTCTTCCCTGGAGAACTCACCTCTTTTAGAAAGGTGATTAGTGTCTAAGAAGAGTAGGACTGTAATGATGTGGGTTTGGCCTCGTGGGTGTAGAGAGGAAACCCCAGCAGCAGTTTGGAATGTATGTTAAGAACTGTGTGGATAGACTCATGAGGGCGGGGAGAGAAGGGGAAATTAACCTGTGTGGTCAAAAGACCGTAAAACACCTTGGCAAATCCAACCCCGAAGGCAGTTACTGAGGTGAACTGTAGGAAAAAAGTGTATAAATCTTGGAAGCAGGAGTTCACGTGGGCGGTTGTACATAAATCAAAGGTGGCTGGTGTGCAGTTTCCTCTTTACCAAATCAGATATTCACTTAAGTGGAATCGACTGTATCTTTTTACACAACATAGAGAAAAAAACAGATACGTGAAACAGTGAGGTGTGCAGATGTATCACCAACACATAATGACTACCAACAATACAACACGCAGAGAGAGAAACAAGTATTAGGAAAATGGTTTAATATTGGAGACAGAAGCAAAAAACTGCATCACACAATAACATACATTACAAAAATAAGTTTGACTGTTTCAACTACACGGTTATGTTCACAATGAGGACAGAAGAATCAGAAAAAACCTTGATCTAAACAGCAAAAAAGCAAACCCTAAAGTTTTAACTAATACATTTATCCACTTAAAGTGACTGAGTACTTCTAAATCTAATTACCTTATTGTGTAACTGCACAATACAGAATAAAAAGTGAAACTTACCGCTGTTATTTTAAGACAAAATTCTAATGCTAGGTATAAGCAAAGGGAAAAAAGAAATCAAGCCAAAGTTTTTAATTCTCAAAAGAAAAGCAACTTTCTTTCTATCAACCCGAAATCAAACTTGAAATCAGTCATTGTCAGGGGCCCACCAGAGCAAGCCACAAAAATTTCCATTTTTTTTTTAATCTCCAGTATAAAAAGTTCCACTGGTACAAAATGCGTAAGTACAATCAGTTGTAGAAATAGGAAAGCCTGCGTATGTTTTTTTTTGGCTCAAATTCCATCAAACAACAAAATCCAAATGCATCAATAAAACAAACAATACTCAAATGGTCTTACAGTTTCCACTAGGTTGCATTAACTTTGGCTTTTCTCAGACGATATTTAAAAACTATTTTGTAATTCTAAACAAAATGATTATTAATCTACAAACATCAGTTCTCACAGCACAAAAAAACATACATTTTTTGTATGACATTATTCAAAAAGGTAATGAAACTACAGGTTTTTTTAAAATTTTATTTTTTTTTTAATTAGCACTTAAGATAATAAAAACAAACAGTAAAATGATTCCAGAGTAGCACAAGCCAACTATAACCCCTATGGTGAAAGAAAGATGAACTCGTTACGCCTTTGAGGACTGCCATTGTATCACAATTCTCTAATTTAGATTAAAAATGACTATTCTCTACACTTGATTTAAAAAAGCGGTTTCCCTGTGTGTTTCTTCTGGCACAGGCCCTTTGCACCCTTGCAGCTTTTTCCTTTTGATAGTAAAAGATAAAGTGGATAGAAGGACAGTTTGTCTCTGTGAAAGGTTTGTTTTTTGGAGAAGGGCAAAAAAGGACTTTCCCACTTATGTCCTCTCTTTTGGTGACTTGTGAAGAAGGAACACTCGACTCAGAGGGCCCGTCCTGAGCCTCCTGTCCCCTGCTCAGTGTTTCCTCTGGGGGAGATGCATGCAGGTGGGTTGAGAGGGAAATGGGGAGGGGAGTCTGCTTCAGGAAAGAAATCAGAATTGTTTTTCATTGAGATTTAGGTAATTGATAAAGAGTTTCAGGATGAAATGGTCTTAGAAATTCAAGTGGCGGGCTCTTGTGTTTCCATGTATGTGTCGAGACACACTGTGTTCTCGGAGAGAGACAGGTGCAATAACGGTTGTTATTAAGCTGATTGCTGCAGGAAGTACAAAATAGCCCTCAGAGGATGAAGGAAGGCCCCAGCAGTAGTAAACACATGTGAGGATAATACAAATCATGTCACTGTAAGTGCATGTGCTATAAGAAGGAAACGTTTGTGTTGCTTTTTGTTTTTTGCATCAGTAGAGGCTAGTCCTTTCCATCCCAGGGCTATCCCATCCACACACACTGATCCTAACAGGGTGCTAAGCGGGGAAGGGGAGCTGAGGCCAAGAAGCTTCCAGGGCATGCCGAAGAGGAAGGCTGGAGCTTGTATTGGGGCTGTAGGCGTGACATTAGGATTTGTCAAGACAGCAAGGTACCTGTTCATAAAAAGTTGTATGGCACTTTAAAAAGTGGCAGCAGGAACTGGTGCTAGGTATTGGAACTGGTGCTAGGTATTTGGTCAGTACATTGTGATAAAGAACTGAGCTTTACTTAGATGGTCAGTCCCCTTTAAATGTGTTCAATTAAAAAAAACCAAAAAGGCTGGGAAAGGGCTATGGGCTTCTAACTCCAGACACCTGGTATATTCAGAGGTACCTACTGGGGTTGGAGATGCCCCAGCCTAATGGCTGATTAGAAATATTATTTAGGAGTATTTAAGAAACAGAAACAAAACCCCTCAAAAGACTGTCCTGCCACAAAGTCGTTTTACTGCAAGGTATGTGAAAATATTCTAGACTAGGACATAGCACTAAAAAGCATACAGGATTGTTAGGTGCTGAATCTACCTCTGTTTTCCCTCAGGCTTTATCCAATTACTCGTTAAAACGGAAGAAGGAATTCTAGTAGCACATTAGGAATTCTGTTCCCCAAAATGAGAAATAATCAAAAGTAGTGTAGGATTTTTTCCCTTTAGATTGGCCTCGTGGAATTGTTTTCTTATGGATCTTAACCAAAGAACAAAGTAGTCAAACCGAAACAACTTAGAGGATAGATGCAGGGGAAAAAAATCCAAATTGGAAACACCCCAAAACAAACTCAAATCATGACGGTATAAAAAGTTATCAACATTCCAGATAGCTCTGGGTAGAAAGGGTTAAAAGTTCAAAACTTTCTCACCTTAGAGGTTTCCATAGATTATGAAGAAAATACATGGTGAGGTTGCCTTCACAGCACTGATGTGCGGAGTGGTTAAAAAAGTGGGACATGGGCACTTATACAATGTCTTACAAAAAACATCAGAGAGAAATAACAAACAATAACAATTTCAGGCAACAAGACCACAGGATAGCAAGTTAACAAACTTTTTAACCTTTTTTTGTTTTTTGTTTTTTTAAATATTAGGGATTTATACAAAACACATAATAAAATACCCATGTTATCAAATTACTTCTCACAAGAAACACACTGAAGCTCTAGGAAGGAAGTACCTTTGGAATTTGGCACTATATATTTTCACTTTTTTTCTTTAAAAGAAAAAAACAGATCACATTTTGCTGAACACAAACACATCTAAATAGTCCACAATTAAAAAAAATGACATCAATGCTTCACAAGCCAACACAAAACTTATTCTGGAATAGGTTTTTTTTTTTTTTCCCCTCACATGAAATTTTTTTTAAGCAAACAACTTTTTTTTTTGAAATTCTTTTTTTTTTTGTATTAAGTAAACCAATTCTAAACTTGTCTTATCAACAAAGAACATTAAGACTCATGATGAAACCACAACTTAATTCACAGAAGCACCAACATAACACAGTTTACAGTAACCTTTCTCCTGTACATTGAAACAGTATAAAATATAGGTAATTTCATGTGCATTAAACCATGGATTGTCTAACTGTGAGTTCAGCAAAAGGTGACACAAATAGGTAGCATTTGCCCCAAAACAGGGTAAATATTTTTCTTATACTAATCTACAAAAAGTGGTTCTATATATATATCTTAATGAGAAAGTGAGCCACCTAAAATGGCCTTATCAAAAAACTTTACACTGCCTGAAAAATGTAAAAACTATTACAGACCTCTAGAGACTTAAAATCAGACAGTTTTTTTCTCAAACTGTTTTTGGAAGTAGTCTGTTAGAAACCAACATTCTGTGTCCCTGGACACATATTGCTATTGTTACCAGTGACCGGGAAGAATGCCAATCCCTGTATAATACTTTCAAGTCTGTTTTAGGAAAAGAAAAAAAAAGAAAGAAACGTTTTTGCCACAGGTTTTTTTTCTATAATGAATTTGTCTAATAATAAATTTCAGTCTTGCATGAATGCAGCAATGTTTTTCACATTGACTTCCCAGAATTCATAGCTAGATGAGGTCACATGCAAATTTCAAAGGTCAAACTAGATCAAAGGTCAGTAGGAGAACCAAATATGATGTGAGGTCAGAAAGACATCAGAAACAATGACGGGACGATGAAACTTTTTTTTGAGACGCCACAGGGACATGCTAGGCAAACGATGAACTAACGGGCATGAAGATGTCTAGGGAAAAAACAAGGAAGAGTAAAAAGTTACACAGAATCTATGCAGCAGCAACAAAATCACTTTTAAGGGTGCAGGAGAAAAACTAATGCAAATCTTAGGTCATTAGGGAGTCTCCGAGCCATTCACATAATTTGCATTTCTTACACTCTTTATCCACAGCACAATGAAACCCCAAGAGAATCCATCTGGAGAGAGTGAAAGGGGATGGATTCCGGGCGTTTTGGGGTGAGGGACAGGGGGAGAGGGTCCAGTTTCAACAAATGTGACATACGGGGAAAGTCAGACGACTGAACTGTAAACTAGATAATGGAAGTTACAAACAAAATCATCAGACAGATACAAACAACGAGAGGATAAAGCATGAACTTTAGGTCTAGGGTTCAACGGTGAAAAAAAGCCCATTCCTAGAACAATTCCTCTAGAGACTACTTCAGAAGGTTCTAGCTAGACAGAGAACTGCTCTTTAGGTACCCAATAAGTTAACAATAGGCAATAAATAACTTCCATTATTTCTGAGGCAGTAAAAATTTTGTATAAAAATAGAAATGCTTTTTTACAAATAAAATTTACAGGCCTGTGGCTTTCTTTTTTATTTATGTATTTATGTATTTATTTATTATTATTAAATTTATCTTTCAAGAAACATCAAGTATTTTCACTCATTTTTATTTTTAAACCCTGTAGCTTTAAGAAACAGATCTCTAAATCTTTTTGTACATTAATCCTTTCTAAAAACTAAAATAAAACAATAACAAAATAGACAACCAGTGTAATCATTTGACCAATAAATGTCATGTTTCTTTGAACCCTAAAATAAAATCCTACTTAGTAAAACAAGCCGATGTAGTGGAAAGACGTGTGGTTGGAGTAAGTGCTTCTCCTGGCTTCTCCCTCTCCTAGGCCACCACGTTAACCTCTAAGCACCGGGCCCTCCCTCCGGGGGCGGGCGCCGGGCAAGGAGGGGTGAATTCTCCAGGCAGTGCTCTCGGGGCACCAGTGGTTTCAGAGTTAGAATTGCACATTAGCGTTTGTTTGCCTTTTAAATTCTCAAGATGCCATTTATTTGTGTATATGCTTCTCTTTAAAAAAGCAAAAATGAAAAACATTAAAAAAAAAAGGTAAAAGGAGATTCAAATTGCAAAACAAAGGAGAATACAGTGGCACAACTGGAGAAGGAATTTACTCAATAGAAACAAGGTAGCCCAAGTTTTAATTATGGCAAACTGGGTAGGGGAAGTGGGTGGGGACATGGAGGCCTTATTGTAAAAATAACCGTCTCTCTTGGTAAAAGTTGGCAATGTGGTCCTCCTCTGCCTTCCCTGTTGAGACAGGCTGGCTCGTGGGACTTACCCTAAGAAAGCTAAAATGAGAGCAGGGAGCCTCTGGGGTTATGATCAGTAAGGTTTGCTGTCGTTTTTGGAACGCTTCAGCTGCACCTTCAAGCGTTTCATGCCGATCTGAAAGCCATTCATAGCCTGGATAGCAGCTTGTGCAGAGACTGGATTGTCGTAGCTAACAAAACCTGGAAAATACCGAGACAGGGAGTCAGGCCGGAGAGGCAGCCCAGCAGAAACCAGAAAAGGGGGCCGGGGCTCTGGGGAGGGCTGGAGAGCCAGCATGAGGCGCCAGCCCCACGGGCCCAGCACAGCTCCGCCGAACGGATGGTGAGTCCACCGTGAGTGGCTGATGGAACGTGCCCACTGAGCAGCTGTGGAGCAGCTGGCTGGACTGGAACTGTGGCATCATGGAGCACACACCCCTCCCCAGAACACTGAAACCTCAGTTGTTTGGCTGAATTCAGTTCCACTTATTGAACTCGCTCAAATCATTGTGTTTCAAGTCCTTTAGTATCTCTCCAAAAGAACCCCAGGTCCATATATGCTACTCATACAAGCAGTGGTGTAAATATTTAAGGGCTGTGGGAGCCCCTAGGGGCTCACGTGTCCTAGCCAGGTGAGGCCAACAGGCAGGCTCGGGAAGGGAAGGGCTGGAGAACAGCAGATACTGCCAAGCCCCGGCCTCTCACTCCAGCTCTCCATTGTCCGTCACACAGAGCCTACACCTGTTTGGCTCTAGGATGGGTCAATTAGCGAATAAACCCTAGAATAACTCATACTTGATTTTTACCCACTTGGAGTTATTACCAAGGAGACTAGGGAAGTGCTGGGCCTTTCTCCTTATCTCACTTTCCATTTCCAAAGCTCCAGTAAATTCAGCAGAAAGGAAATTGCTCCCTGGCATCTCCCAGAGTCTCGGGGATACCCAGTCAACGGCTTAGAGCTTAATCATCTGAAGAGAAGTCCCCATTTCTTACTCTGTAGCAACAACCGCCACCAAAAACAGCAGGGAGGGCAAGCTTTTGAAAAAGAACTGCAAAGACCCAGTGACAAGAGGATCTCGGTCCCAGAGTCTGTTCCAGCACTGGGGGAGGCGGCAGCAGAGGTACGGCAAGGCTGTAAAGGGTGCTGATGCAAGTGGTGACAGGAAGCTATTGTTCTGATTTACATTTAGGTCTAAACGTCAGCTGTTCAGAAGGTTCTGTGCTGAGCACCTCTATCCATCTGCTATTAAAGTTAAAGAGAAAATTCCTTTACAAACTAGAGGAGGAAGAAGAGGATATGACTTTTCTGCACAGTTCTCAGCTGATAAAAATGGGCATGTGGCATAACACTGAGCAGCTTTTCAGAGGCAGGCTGGATTGCAAAGTGGCTGTTTAAATTTTTATTAAGTCTCATTCCCAATAAATGTGATCTGGGATCCAAGAGTTTTGCTCTGACTTTCCTTTCCCTCTGGGTACTTTACCAAAGAACAGCAAGATAGTTACAGAATGGAAGTGGACAAAGGTGAGATGGATAACAAACCCTGGCCAAGAACTAGGAAGGAACAGGGCACCACCTTATGACTGGCAGCCCTAAGAAATGCGGCTGGCTCACTGAGCAACCTGGGTGCTATAGCATTTCACAAAAATGGAAACCAGTCCATCATGCTCAAGAATCATCTGCTGACACTAACAGCTATGGTTTACGTCAGTATGAGCACATGGTTAAGGAGGTTGTAGGCTGATAAACAATCTGTTTTCAAGGAAGTAAATATTTTCTCAAATCAAATCATGAAGCAGAATTCCCTTCCAAATAAACCTAGAATATTGTTTAGCTGTGAAAAACACAAAAGTCTGCCTCAAAGCCTTGTAAACCGTGTAGGGAAGCCTCCCTAAAGTAGGCTCCTGCTCAAACACACCCCCCCATAATGATTTGATTTGCATATCCCTCTCTACTGAACTGTCACAGAGGGGTTTATACAGTTGCCACAGCAGCAGCCTAATGGGTTCCGGCTGACAGCCTTGCCGCTAGGGTAGCGTGGTGACTGTAAGTGGCTGACATGCGGAGTCCTTTAACGGTGCCTTCAGACCTTCCTGGGTGATAGCACAAATTAGACCTTATGATAATAGAGTTTTAGAAGCCAAAACATTCTCTTTGAACTGGTTCCTCATTGCCAGCCAGTGTTAAGTTTGAGAACCACCCTCCCTTTGCTATTTTCCTTTATAGCACACAGTTCTGTGTGTTTCCTCCAGCCCTACCTAACTGGGTTTTATGCTGTTACTATTTCCCATCGGCATGAATTATTAAATTGCAGGAGTGATTAAAGTGAATATTCTAACTCAAACTGGGCCCTGAGCTTGCCAAGTAATATATACTCTGAACATCCTGGCCTGTAAACTGCTTTGGGGGCCAATAGGGTTTGAAAAATGAAGGAAGGAATATATTTAAAGAATGCTGTTGTCCTGGTGTAAAACATCCGTCCACTCTGCGAGCATCCCTTACTCCCTAAGGGAGCGAAAAACACCACAGGAGGCAGAGTCCAGACTGCTTGAGGAAAGGGGCATGGCAGCTCAGGCAGAGTCCAGACTGCTTGAGGAAAGGGGCATGGCAGCTCAGGCTCTGATAACAGCTGCACACCTCTGGATTTCACATTCATTCCCACAGCCCCCGCCCCAGCCCCTGGACTCCACATCCATTCCACTCCCCGACTGTGGCCCTTCAGATCCCGTCATGCAGCGCGCTACGTAACCGTGAGATCTGTCAACCGCTTATCCCGGGCACGTGGAGCTGCGATCACGCAGCAGCCTGAACACATGGGTGTGTTGGTGCTGATGAATGGCTGGCTGGCTGTGAAAATGTCTGTGTGTGTGTGTTACATCAAGGCCAATAAGCCCCCAATATGGTGTTGCCCACCACCATGGTGTCTGAATTGCACTAAACCCAGAGGGGTAAGGAATTAGTGGGAAAGATTAGCTAAATGTGGTTTGATTCCTTAACAGTATAGTATAGAAGATTACCTAATGTATGGGCATCGACTTTAATTTCCCAGAGCCTTTCTTTCTTTGCCCAAATCTGCTTACAAGGATCCAGAAAATCAGAGCCCACCACCACGTGGGGAACGCCCTATCCTGACTGAAATTGTCTCACATTTTCCTTCCCATGACTCTTCACTTGGGAACCTACTGCAATATTCTAGCTTAGTTTCTTTTGCATACCAAAGCACTTGCTCAGATTGGTCTGTTTGTCAATGAAGACTTTAGCAGAGATAACATTTCCAAAAGGCATGAACATCTGCAGAATGTCCTGGTCTCCAAATTCCTGTGGAAGGTGGTAAATAAAGAGGTTTGCCCCCTCTGGACCTAAGGAGGAAAAAAAAAGTCAGAGTAAGGTATCCCTTGAGTCTTAGTTTCCAAAGTCCCTTCTTAGGAATACTTTAACAACAGGTAGGCTAAGCATTTAGCTTTCTTTCCTACAAAGAACAAACAAACAGATGGATAAATGTCAAGTGCTGGAGTGCCTTTCAGGAAAGCAATCATCCTTCAGATTTTCCTGATTTCCAGAGATGCTGGCTACGAATGGCTTCCTTTTCACTGACAGTCTTCTGTGAGTCACAGGTACTACTGCCCCTTGGCATGCATTTCAGTCACCTCTTCATGGGGATGAAGGTGACAGTGGGCAGAATGGGGGCAGGTAATCTTGGCATGGGTTTTTCCTGGGTGGCCAGATTTTCTCAGGTACAGAGACTCTGAGAAGAAAAAAAGGGTGGTGCTCTGTGCATTCTAAGCAAATTGTAACAATTTAGAATGGATGTAGCAGTAATGCTGCTCAGATTTCTCTATCATTTGCCTAGTTATCCAGCCAGTTTTGATTTGCCAAATCTCTTAACACACAGTCTAATAATCATCTTTATTAGAAATGACTGGCAATGAGTCAAGACAAGGAAAGAAGGTAGCCTGAGTCTCACGACTTTGAGAGGAATGACTCCCCTGGGCGTTAGCCTTGGAGATGAGTGCAGTCGATGTAGAAGCTAGGCAAAGACCAAGGAAGCCAAGCTCTGCCTGTCCACCTGTCCTTTCCCAGTAAACACAGGCAGCAAGGGCAGCATGGAGATCTTGGCCGCGCTGGCTGGAGAGGTGTGTGCTCCTAAGCTCCCCTCGCTTTTCCTCTCCTGACTCTCCCCCACCCATATGAGCACCATTTGAAAGTTAAAAGCAGCACAAAATGGGATAAATATGAGCTGAGGGACATGAGGGCTGACTGTTTCTTGGGCATTCCAGGCATGGAGTCTTCCAAGGAGGGGCGCTCACAGAACTGGTGGGGCGACTTCTGCAGTGGGTCGGGAATCCTCAACTGGCCTTCGCAGGAGAGGAACGGGCCTGCCTGCCCAACGAGGCAACCCCAGGGGATAGCTGCACTGGGGTACCTAAATGTGGGAAGGGTGTCTGTGTGTGGCATGAAGAAAACTAAAATGGGGATAAAAAGAATTTTGTAAAAATGTCAGACCAAGCTTCTTCCCCTGCCTCCACAAGATACATCACAAGAAAGTATCCTAATGATTGGGACTTTTCACAAAGAAAACTTCTTGAGGCAAACTATGGAAGCCACAGAAACGAAGTATTCCTTTCTCATTTAAAAGTGTGTCTTCATGACTACTCTAACTTTCCATACTGCTTCCATTTCCTTGGACATATCCATATTCTAGAGCATGGGAAGGAGTCTATTTTAAAGGGACACGATTGTAGGGGGGGCCTTAGGTCCCCAGATGTTTTCTGGTTTTAAGAGAATCAAAATTTAACATGAAAAGATGCAAAACCCAAATACTGGAAAGGGATGGTCTGAGTGCTGCTGTGTGTGCACATCCTTGGTGATATGTTTGCTGGTCAGATTTGGTGCTACCAGCTTTCACGTTCCTACTGCACAAAAGATCCAAATGCATGAATGAGGGTTATTGGGCCCCAGTTGGAACTGTGAAGTACGCCTCACCTCCTGAAGCCGGGGAGAAAATAAGAGTTTCAGTGCACATGACAGATGACTGGGTATGCCTGAGTAATCCTGGCTTTTAGAACGTTGCTTGTGCTGAATGTGTCTGTGCCCAACAGAGAGACCAGTAAACATACACAAGTAGGTTCTGTCCTTTTGCTTCTGATCTTCCCAAGAAAAAATGTCAGCAGCATCTCTTGAAATAGATCCCCCAATTTTTCCATCACCAAGAAACAGTTTGGTTTTGTATATGCCCTGAGTTTTTAATCTTAAAATGGGAAAAAAAATTTCATATGGAAAACCTCCCTTGTATGCAACTAAGGTGGCTGAGATGAAGAGGAAAACATAAAACACCTTTTTTAAAAATGGGATTCTACCTGTGTGTCATCGCTTTTCCTTTAGAAGTGGGAAACACCTGTTCACAAGTCACCCCTTCATCAGATTTCTCCCGGTGCACGTTACTGTCACTTGTTAGATTCTCTGTTACACTCACTACTGGTCCTGGTTGTTGGGGTGTTCATGTTTTATCTTTCTCACAGGGCACTTGGTCTGGCATAAAGCACTGGGGACGTTTGTAGGAACAAAGCTGTACGAGTACACCAGCGTCCCCATTCCTCACGGGACTCGCCTCCTGCAGGTAATGGACAGAGGCGGGCCGTCAGAGGCTCACTTCCTGTCTGGGGAAAAACACACCAGGTCTTGCAACCTCGGACAGAACTGTGGAGTAGAAAATCTGGAATTCATCATTGTTATTATTTTTTTGCTCTGCCTGACATCATTTGCTTTTAAATTTATGTTTTACTTAAAGTAATATGAAGATGGTTTAAATTTCTTGAGCACATATTAACTGGGAGAGAAGGGGATCAGAAGAGAGGTATGAGAAGGTGGGAGATGATTCCAAAGAAACACTGAACAAATCAAAAACCCGAAAGCATGCTACTGAAAACGCACACACTTAAATCAGAGGTGGACAGTGGTTATTTTGGGCAATTTTACCTTAATCTCAGAAGGGGAATTACTGCACTAAGCAGTAACCCCTAAAACTCAAGGCGAGAAAGTTGAGGGCAGTGAGCTCAGGTGAAACCTCGGAAACATGTTGTTTCAGGGCCCAGACTTTATCCCTAAACCGCTCCATAGTTTACTGGAAGGTCCTGCTCTGTAATGGAGAGGTGGCCACCATGTGGGGAACTGGCCTTCTGGCCTCTGTGTGAGGATATCATCGTCCTACAGGGTCCTGCTCTCTGCCTTCATTTGTCACCATGGTACTCAGACCACAGACAAAGGAACACACACAGGCCTTTCCTGGGGAAGACAAGTGATGTTTATGATGTAGGGGCTCTTTCACAAGCCTGGGGAACCACAGCTGTCTGAACACCTGTGCATGTTTCAAAAGCCTATAATAATAGTCACAGCTAAGAGTAAAGACAAAGTTGACATAATGAAAAGTAACTTGGACTTTCATATATTTTTCATTTTAAAAGTGATCTCCATGTTATTCATACAAATAAAAAACCTTTTCTTTCCTTTTTCAAAAAAAAAAAAATGTAAGTATCTTTTAAGCTGTGTTCTCTTAAAACCCACTTCAGACAAAGCAGTTTGGAACTATGGGGTGAGGGTGAAAGAGAAGGGAAAGAAACTTAAAAAAATCTCCCTTAGTGCTTCTCTATTCTGGCTTTTTATTCCATATCTAACCAAGTCAGAAAAAAAAAATCATTTAGCAGATTTTGCTCTAAAGGAGCTTCAATTAAGGAAGAAGGAATCAAAAGGAAGAATGACCAATGATCCTATTTGGTCTTACTCATGAACCATTTCATAATTAGCTTTAATTTATTCTTAGCATTAACTTCCTGGAGTTTATTTTGCTTTACTGGCAGAGAAGCAAGGCAATCGATCACTTACTTGCTTTCCCTGAAGACCCCCAATTAAACAAAGACCAAGGCAATCCTAACGTGCACTTTATCATTCACCTGAAAACCATCACCTACTGAGAGGCAGCCACACACTCACAGGATGTGTGGACTCGAAAACCCTGGCAAACACAGGACAGAGAGTGTTTCACCCTACAGAAGCCAGTGGCCATCCATCCCCTTCCACCAACAAGTAGTTTCTGTGTCGGGAAAAGGTGATGGTCTGTGCTGACTTGGGAAAGGGAAGTCGCTGGGAATTTTTTATAGGCAGCAAATATTAAGTAGTTGATGGGAAATAGTTTATAGAACTTAATTATGGGAGGGGGGTGAGCAGTGAGAGGATATTTGGGGATTGCATAAAAGGTGGTCAACTTTCCTGGACTTAGATCTGCAGAAATGCCATAACCCTTCAGAAGATGTAGCTGGGGGAAAAAATTAAAACCATTTATCTACAAAGCCAGACTGGTATGTAAATATACAATGGACAAGAACTTCATCTAAAGAGATGGATGAAAAATTAAATTAGAAGATAACTATAAGACCAAGTGAGAAAGACTGAAATAAATAGGATTTTGCTGTTGTTTGAGAGAGAGGGGTCTGTGTTCCCTGACTGGAGTGCAGTGGCTAGTCACAGGCATGACCATGGCTCACTGCAGCCTCAGCTCCTGGGCTCAAGCGATCCTCCCATCTCAACCTCCCAAGTAGCTGGGACTACAGGTGTATGCCACCATGCCCAGCTTTCAGGTTTTTTTGTTAAACACGAATAACACATACAACAGCTGCTTTCTGTTATGACATGGGTTCAGTTTGATACCTTCTAACCGTGCTCTAGAGGCCAGTGCTGCCAGTTGGGCTGGGCCCTGCCTGGGGCCAAGGCGGCACCTACCTTCCTTCTGGCTGCCCGCAGCGCTCTGCTGCTGCAGCAGGCTCTGGCTGTACAGAGTGGGCAGCGCGGCGGCTGCGTACTGCTGAATTCCTGAGTAGGCCTGGGTGAGGGCGTCCATGGTGCCAGCCGTGCCATTCGTCAAGCCTGTGGCGCCAAGTCCTCCATTCAGAGCCGCCATACCTGAGAGCATTTGAGCAACTTTACAAAAAACCCAACAATAGAGAAGAGAAACAGCACTTATTCATTAGTGCTTTCCAAAGGAAGTTAGAGAATCATTTGACACAATACAACAGCAAGTACATGCAGCTAGCACACAATTACACCGACAGGAAACTAAAAACAAAACCATGAAGAAATAAATCATGACAATGGGGGAAAATGACCTAAGCCATGAGAACCCTCACTCCCTAGGCCAGTGATCCAAATGCACTGTGGCACGAGTGAGACGAGACAGCTCAATGCCATGCAGCGTGCTACTGGCAAGTACCGTTGTTATCTTTTGGAAGTAAAAGCCTTTTGCTTCTGGGAGCTTAGGAGCATGTTAAAAAAAAAACCTTAGTAGCAGAGGCCTGTAAAATATATACAC